CCTTGCTGGGAGTTCCCTTATTCTGGCATGGCTAAATTTATGAATGCCATAAAAGCACTAACATACAACTTGTGTATATTAAGTCAATAGTACTGATGGAAGAGGTTACAGACGAGATTGGCTGTTGTACGTATTCGGAATGGCGAGTGTTAGTTGCCCGCACACGAGGTTCCGGGATTCGTCTACGCAACGAAAGGAGCGATTTACATGAAGTTGGCAGTTGATCCGATATTCCAAGTTGGGAGTACAGCTGCTCAAAGCTAAATGAGATTTTTTGGGAGGACAACTTACACTTGTGACGGTTGTCCAAAACCTTCAATCGACGCGCATGACAGTTCTGCCTAACATTCATATAATTGCATTCCACTTTCCCTTGTAGTCAGTATTCCGTCCAGTTTAGTTATAGTTCGATATATTGATTTTATTGATTGCCCACCTACTAAATCCTACTGTAATGAAGCGCAACATCATCACAGCCGCCTTATCGCCACAACCACCTCTCGTCACTGGCTCCACACATTCAATCATTGCTCCAAGTCTTCTATAAGAAGGTACATGAAATCTATGAGTGTTGACTGGTGACGTCATCGCCTACTTGCAAAGCGCTTCGAAATGATTTCGTAGATTATGCTGCTCTTTGCGCATCACAGTTGTGGAGAAGCGATTGCTGGCCACCAGCGATTCATTGATCTCACGGCGACATTCCTGCATCGCTACAGGTTCAAACCTTAAAGGACGGGGTTACGGTAATTACTTATACCTTCTACGGCAAGGCTTTATTCTAGATATGTTTGATGTACAAGTCTGATAGTTGGAAGGCCAACTAAAATATATTTGGAAATATAAGAGATCCCTATTTAGGTCACTGCAACGCAAAATCAGCTGTTCCTTTCCTCTTTGCTCCCGTCATGCTTTTTTTTCGAAGGTTTCTTTTTCGCATGATGCTCAATAAGCGGAGAAGAGCATGGCAATTGCGTGCGCCTCTATGCTTCTCAATAGGTCGAGAATGTGCATTCAAAACTAGCTCTTAGCGTGTGAAAAAGTGAAAAGGGTCAGCATGTGGAGCGAGATATTGGAGGATGTTATGCTGGAAATACTTAAAAAAGGAATATCTAATCTGTGTTTGAAAGGATTTCGAGCTATATACCGATTTAGCCTTTTTGGTA